CAGAGTTAACGTTTCGGGTTCTGAGGAAGGGTCACCGGACCCGAAACGTTAACTCTGTTTTCTCCTCCACAGATGCTGCCAGACCTGCTGAGCTTTTCCAGCAACTTTGTTTTTGTTCCTGATTTACAGCATCCACAGTTCTTTTGGTTATTATTTTGCATACTGCCTCACCAGTCTTAACAACAGTAGCGGGGTCAACCATGTCAAAGGCTATAGGCAGATTAAAAAAATTGAGGTGGGATTGTTTCTTTGTCACATCACATGGAATACCATTTATACCTTAAGACATTTTGGCACTGCAGCAGATGTGGAAACCAGTTAACGAACTAAGCCAGGGAAATTGAGGCAAATTACAATGCCTCAACCAAAGACATCAGCTAATTTCCCACATAAAGAGCATCAAATCTAGGATCTGCTTAGTCTACATGGTCAACGACTGATTGAACAAACGCTATATACCTGTATTTGTACTATGCATGAAAGCATAGAATCTGATTAATTCAACTGCACTAAAGTAATTAAATAGCTTATCCACTGCTGCCTTTCTTAAAAATTATACTAATGAGATGCCTCTCAATTTTTGACTTTTAGTTTTAAAACTAAGGCACATTTATCCTGGAATATTTCATCATTTACTGTTAAAGGGCATATTTTTGTTGGGTTATTAATCATTTGTTTTTTCTTTCTCAGCACTTAATATTACCATGATGTGCCCTACAACTGATATCGCAAACCCGAACCATCTGACATATATACGGCTTGAGAAAAATATGCTGAGACGCCCTTTCAATACATATATCTATGTTTGCTTCCCTCGTCTCCGAAATTTAGATTTTGGTGAACAGAATCCCACACCAATTGTTGAAACCCAAGGAGCCCCTGGACTGTTTGGAATACCAATGTCACCACCTGATGGAGAACCAGAAAGTCTCATCAATTACTAGTAATTATCTATGTAACAAACTAATAATAGCATCAGAAGTATAAAATAATTGTGCATCTCATCTATCCATTGCATAATTGGTCCAAACCACAAAAGTAAACAAATGTTGTACTATTCTTGCCTCCACTGTCAATTTCTTAAACAAAATCTTCCTTCAAAAAGATGCCAAATTCTGAGTTTGGAAGTCAAAAATCAGTTTTATTTTTAATTTCAACTTATTTTTTAAAGCAAGTACTTGGAAAATGCATTTGCACAGGGACAAAAGGGAAACAACTGGTTTTATCAGTTTGAATTGAATGAATTAGCTTTATTATCACTTGAGACAATAACAGAAAAAGACACCCTTTTAAAGCCAGTTGTTGCACTACATTGCAAGATTAATCGCAAAACAAGTGTGGTTACACTTTTGAACGTAACCATTAAATAGATTGTCCCACAATACAAGGAACCCCTTAGATGGGGCATTTCATTATCGACAGCCATAAAGATGGACACATTAGCCAACTGCATATCTTATACCTTATTATAATTTGATAAGTGTTGATAACATCTAGATTACAAAAATGCTATTGATATACACTTAAGTTTGAGAAAAGACTGACTTCAGGCTGAAGTAAACACAGGAATCCTCTTGCACACAAAGGAGAGGAGGGTGGCATCATAGCATAATATGGAGAATATCCAATTGCAGAGAATGAATGTTTAACACCATACTTGCAGGTCACTAGTAAAAACACAAGCTCAACATTTGCTTGTTAAAAGTCTGGTTTCAGCCTCCGTTTATTTAAACGTATGTTCTGCGTTCCATATGCCACATTTGTCCTTCAGTCTAGCCATTGTCAAGCCTCTATTCACTTTATGCATGCAAACATTCCAAGTATCATATACCTCCAAGACTGTACAGTAAAGACTGAGCTGCAATCAATATATAGGTAATAATGTTATATAATACACATGCTTAAAAAGAAAATCATATTATTTTAAAGTAATATTTTGTTGTGGAAGAGACTGAGCAAATATCAAAAACAAAACGTTAAGTTCTTACAGAAATATTTTATGAAACAAAGGAACTTACATGTGTTTAGATTCATTCTTCCTACACTGCACGTTTCTATCCAACATTTTCATAAATTTTCAGAAAAATCATTCCTCAAACTGGCATACTTAAAAGTTATGATTGAGAACTCAAAAGAAAGATTCCACTAAACAATCTAAATCATCAGTAACTTACTTATGCTGCTCAGATTTTTGTTCACAATAACTTTGTGTTACTTTTTATTAAATTTACTTTTGGAAATGCTGTATTTAAGTAGCAGAACGTTAAGGCCATGCTGAAGTTATTATTTTGTTTCAAAAAGTAAAATTGTATCATTTACATATTCCTGTTTTCATGTACAAATGTTTGTTTAACTTTTCTAATGTTACCTACCACATATTATCAACTGGGTAGCAGTTTCTTGTCTTCTCAGAGATGGAAAAGTCAATCTTACCTTACTTAAAGCATTCTTATTTTGCTAAATAAAATATCATTTATGGCAGAGATGTTAATATTTCACAGATTAATTGTCATCATTACTGAGTGAAATTATATTGGTTGAAAATGCACCAGGAATCTGGTTTTAGGTCAAGAAATATTTCACACTTTTCCTTAATAATCCATTGGTGGAATAATCGAACAGAATCTTTTGATAAAAATTAAGATTGCAAGGCACAACAGCAATCAAAATACAGATCTTGTTCTTTTGGATTCAATGGAAAGGAAACCCTTTGTTTTTAGCCCAAAGGGAGCTTTCTCTCTTCCACTTCACTTTAAACTTCTGCACATTATGATATAGGAGGTTAGTGCCAGTAAATGGTTTACTAGAAAACCCATGTGACACAGAACACATTTGGCTTATGCACTCCAATACAATGAATGTACACCTTGCCATTTCAGGTACCCAGAGCCAATAGAAAGCATTCAAACCTTAGTTATGATACAGCCAGCTGCAGAATAAAACTCTCTGACTCCTTCAAATGATGTGCCATTGTGCCAGCTGTGGAACAAAGGACTCTTTACTGAACCTGCACATTTTCCCATTTTCCTCGCAAGCCCGGGGCTTCCCAGTTTGCCAGTGCTGAAAAAGGGAGTTTTCTGCTTTAGGGACATGTCCATGAAGAATTCGATTAAGTCTGCTCAGTTCACACTTCCTTGTAACCAGCAAGCTAGAAGATTTTCAGCATGGGTATGAATTCAGACACCAGAGATGAAAGACCATTGTCTATTCCGAAAATCCTTATTTGAGTTATTTGCATATCAAAATAGAAGTAGTCTCTCCACATTTAATACCCAATACTCACTGATAAGGCCTGCTGAGTATCCTTGGAAATTGGCACATTCATCTCTCAGTTGGCAGAGTGGCTGGGATTTTCCAATTTTGCAAAATGTTGTGGTGGCAGCATGACATACCCAACTACCAACAACACGCAATCTTGCCAGATCTTCAAGAGGTGAGTAATCCGCTGCAGGGTTCCTAGCCTCTGACCGGCTATTGTAGCCACAGTGCAAGTTCAGCTTCTCAGTAATGGTGACCCCAGGATGATAGTGGGTGACTCAGTGAAGGTAATGCCATCAATGACAAGAAAAAACGATAAGATTCTCTCTTGGGGACAGTCATCGCCTGACACTGTTAGGCACAAATGTTATTTACCACTTCTCAGCCCAAACCTGGATATTGTCCAAGTCTTGCAACAGACGAATGGGAGCTGCTTCAATATACAAGGAGTCATGAACGGTGCTGAACATTCTACAATCATCAGCGAAGATCCCTACTTTTGACCTTATGATGGAGAGAAGGTCATTGGTGAAGCAGCTAAAGATAGTTGGGCCTAGGACACTACCCTGAGGAACTCCTGCACTACGTCCGGGAGCTGAGATAACTGACTGACCAACAACCACAATTCCTTCCTTTGCGCTAGGTATGACTCCAACCAGTGCAGACTTTTCCTTGATTCCCACTGACTCTAAAATTGCTACAGCTCCTTGATGTTATATTCAGACAAACACAACTTTGATCTCAAGGACAGTCACTTTTAACTCCCTCTAGAGTTCAGTTCATTTGTCCATATTTGCACGAAGTCTGCAGTGAGGTCAAGAAATGAGAACTCCAACTGAGCATCAATGAGCATGGCATTGCTGAGCGAATGCTGCTTGATAGCATTATTAATGATCCTTTCCTTCGCTTTACTAATGATCAAAAGTACACTGATGGGACATTAAGTGGCCAGGCTGTTTGTCCTGTTTATTGACATATCTGGTCAATCTTCCTCATTGTTGGTTAGATGCCTGAGTCACCGCTGTACTAGAACAGATTCGCTAGCACTGCAGCAAGTTCTGGAGCACAAGTCTCCAGTAATGTCTCTGGAATGTTGTCAGGACCCATAGACGTTGTAGTCCCTTAAGAAGTTTCTTGGTATCACAGGGTGAAATGAATTGGTCACAAACCAGCATATATGATGCTGCAGAGCTCTGGAGGAAGCCGAGACAGATCATCCACTTGGCACTTCTGGCTTAAATTTATGACAAATTCTTCAGCCTGATCTTTTTGCACCGATGTGCTGGCCACCCCCATCACTGAAGATGGCAGTAATTATAAAATCACCTTCTCCTGTGCATTGTTTGATTGTCCACCACCATTCTCCTCAGGATGTGGCAGGACTGCAGAGCTTAGATATGTCACTTGGCCCTCCCTATCACTTGTTGCTTATGTTGTTTGGCATGCAAGTAGTCCTGTATGTAGCTTCACCAGTTTAATACCTCATTTTTAGGTACATCTAGTTATGTTCCTGGAATCCCCTCCTGTACTCTACTGAACCAGGGTTGATCCTCTGGCTTGATGCTAATAGTACAGCAGGGAATATCCTCGGCCATAAGGTTGCAGTTTGTGTTCGAGTACAGCTCCCGACACCTCACGGATACCCAGTTTTAAGTTGCTAGATTTCTTTAAAGTCTATCCCATTTAGCACGGTGGCAGATAATATGAACATAGAACATAGAATAGTACAGCACAGTACAGGCCCTTCGGCCCACGATGTCGTGCCGACCTATTATCCCACTAAGATCAATCTACCTTGCATACCCTACATTTTACTATCCTCCATGCGCCTATCCAAGAGTCGTTTAAAAGTCTCTCAAGTATCTGAATCCACTACCGTTGCCGGCAGTGTATTCCACACGCCCACCACTCTCTGTGTGAAGAACCCACCTCTGACATCTCCCCGAAATCTTCCTCTAATCACCTTAAAATTATGCCCCCTCGTAATAGTCATTTCTGCCCTGGGAAAAAGTCTCTGACTATCCACTCTATCATTGCCTCTCATCATCTTGTACACTTCTATCAAGTCACCTCTTATCCTTCTTCACTCCAATGAAAAGAGCCCTAGCTCCCTCAACCTTTCCTCACAACACCTGCCCTCCATTCCAGGCAGCATCCTGGTAACTCTCCTCTGCACCCTCTCTAAAGCTTCCACATCTTTCCTATAATGAGGTGACCAGAACTCAACATAATATTCCAAGTGTGGTCTAACCAGAGTTTTATAGAGCTGCAGCATAATCTCATAGCTCTTAAACTCAATTCCCCTGCCAATGAAAGCCAACACACCATACGCCTTCTTTACAACCCTATCAACTTGTGTAGCAGCTTTGAGGGATCTATGGACGTGGACCCCAAGATCCCTCTGTTCCTCCATAAGGCCAAGAATCCTGCCATTAATCCTGTATTCTGCATTCAAATTCCACCTTCCAAAATGAATCACTTCACACTTTTCTGGGTTGAATTTCATCTTCCATCATGAAGGCAAAGCTATGTCTCCAAAGCTACGTCATCACCTCTCCCAATGCAGTCATCGACTGACGTATCTGTGACAGATAGATTGGTGAGGATGTTTTTGCAACTTGTTGGTTCCTTTATCATCTGCTGCAGACCATGTTGAGCAGCTGTGCCCTACAGCACTAGACCAGCTTGATCAATAGTGGTGCTGCCTAGCCACTTTTGATTCCCCCATCCACAGTACATTCAGTGTTTGACATGGAGGAGCATTGTTTCATCAGCTTGGGGGAGGGGACTGGTAAGTGTAATCAGCAGGAGGCATTCTTGTCCATTTTTTGACATGAAAACTCCCAGAACATCTCCCTCCCCCCCATTAACACTATGCTGCTACCTCTGCTGAATCTGTCCTGCAGTACAATTAGACATACAGGAAGTTCTCCTTTTACGCAATAGTTGCGTTCTGTGTGACCTCATGTTAAAGGGAAATTGCTACAGAAAATCACTCTAACTCTACAGCAGAAAGTTCACATTGTCCAAACAGCGTCCACTATTTATCAATCACGTTACAGCCAATTCGCGTTATTGAAACACACGTTATAGCAGAACTACCTGCATCCAGGGGTGGTGATGGCACTGTCTGATACAGTGTGTGTAAGGTATGGTTCTGTGAGAATGACTATGTCACGTTGTTACTTGACTAGTGATTTAGCTCTCCAAATCTTAGCACTAGCCCTCAGTAAGGAAGACTTTGAAGGATCAGTAAGGTTGAATTTGTCAGTCATTTCTGATGCCCAGGTCGATACCAGGTAGCCCATCCAGTTTCATTCCTTTTTTGAGATGTTTTAGAAGTTTGCTACAATAGGATGGCCGGATAGATCATTTTAAAGATCAATTAAGAGTCAGCCACATTGCTGTGGGTCTGGAGTCACATGTCGGCCAGAGCCGTGAAGAACACCAGTCTTCCTTCTCAAAAGAACATTAGTGACACTGATGGGTTTTTACAACAATGTTTTCGTGATCATCATTCAACTTTTAATTTCAGATCTTTGAATTTGATTTCCTTCATCTGGTGTGATGGGAATTCGAACTTGGCTCTCCAGAGTAATACCTGGATTGCTGAATTACTAGTCAAATGACAATACCATTACAATTTTGGTTCCTAATCTGGGGCTGACAGCCACTGAATAACTGAGGCTGAAACTGCTAGTGACTGAACAACATCTAAAAAAGTGGGCAGAGAGATGCCATTTGGGCATTGGGAATCCAGGGGTTGGACCTGCAAGTAGAGGGGTCAAAGACTGAGATAAAATCATCGCATTCAATGGCCACCCCCTCTCCTGCATCATGCCCCAATCACTCTCAGATTGGAGCTGATTGAGGCCCCTCTCTGCTGGAGTCTGGCAAACAGGCTGCTCTATTTTACCGAACAGAAGGCTATTTTTCTCACCTGCCAGGCACAAAGATCAGTGGCAAAGAGGCTATATGTGGCCAGTTAAGGGCATTAATTGGCAGTGGAATGGAAAGGCAAGCTTGGGCCTTCCTGCCTTGAACTTGGTTGCTGTGGTTTCAGAAATGCACATCTTCCTGATGCCAACCCATCTAATGATCTTCCCTTCCCATCACTTTTCAGGAGAGGAAGGGTTGTACTGAGTGGTCCAGTTTTGATGGTGTACTGCTTAAAACAAAGTGCTATTCTTCAGAAGGATCATTCGCGTCTGCCTGTTCCTGTG